CGTCGCCGATGAGCTCGACGTCGTTGGTGGAGACGCCTGCTGCATTGATCCACGGTTCAAGAGCTCGCTTGATTTCTGCGGGTTGTATAGCCGATGGTGCGCCAATAGTGTAAAGGTGTGGATCTGGTGGTCGATCCCAAACTGCCATAGCTGCCATGTCGAAGGCAGGTAGAGTAGCTTCCGCCATTGCCAATTGTGATTGAATCCGCCCCACATCTTGCCGCATCTGTAGTTGGTCCTGCTCCAATGTGTTCGTACGTTGGCTAAGTTCACGGACTGAGGTGTCAAGGACGTCCATCCTTCCGCCATGTTGCCGTACATGTCCGAGAACAAGCTGAAGTTCGCCTTGAAGAGCTTGCTGGGCGCTGCGTATGATGGCCTCGGACTCGTTCTGGAGCCTTGCGGTGGCGGACTCGATCTGGGAGGAGAAGAGCTGGCTGAGGCGCTGTTCCAGGGAGCTGTCGTCGTGCACGAATCCATCTCCATTTGGGGTAGGGATGCTGCCGATTGCCTCGCCCGCAACTGGAGTCGCTGGTACCGCTCCTGCTGATGTTCCCGTAGGCGTGCCTGATGTTGTAGCCGCTTCTTCTGCAGCACACATGTGGGGGGCCCCAGAAGCTGGTCCATGTGGAGGCTGAAACCCTGTCCACGGGTCCTCTCGCTGTAGTGCATCTTCTTCTCTCGGGTCGGTTCTTGACCTGGTTGCCCTGGCTGCTGTCGCGTCTGATGGTCCTCCGCTCCTCGCTGCCCTGCGTGTGGGTGTGGTAGCTGTGGCTGTCCCAGCTCGGCCTGCCCGTGGAGGATGAGCTCGCTGCGTAGCCCCACTCTCGCGATCACGGGGGGCTTCACGTTCACGTTCAGCACGTCGTCTTTCCCGCTCTTGAGAAGGAGAACGCTCGGGTCTATGTTTGTCAGCTCGTTGACCTCTATCACTGCGGGAGTGGCTGCCGTCACCTCTGTCTTTTTCTCTGCGAACTCGTTCTCGTTCTTTGCGTGGTCGTCTGCGTCGATCTTTAGCTGCTGAGGAGGAGTTGCTGCCGCTACTTTCACTGGAAGCCATTGTGAAATACTCTGTCGTTGTAGGAGGAAGGGCGGGTCGCTATGCAGCGCGGTGTCGTTGAAGTCGTTGCTGATTGTATGTCGCTTCTTGCCAGCGACCTGAGGCGCGATATGGAAGCCGTCCCAGCTGATGTAGAGATGGCTCTTCGTCAGGAGGTACTCGACCGACGGGTGGAATATGGAGGCGCACAGAGCAACAAATGCTATGGCGAAGATGCTTGGGCGGCCGCTAGCCCCTAGTTGTGGCGGCAAGACAACTGGACGATCTGATGGGGGCCTACCCCGCTGAGGCAGTGAAATGGAAGCCATTTGGCCCTTGAGCCAAAATGGCTACGGATGGTGATGATGATGATGATGATGATGATGATGATGATGATGATGATAGGACGAGGAGGAGGAGTATGAGGAGGAGGAGGAGGAGGACACTGTCGCACGAAACGCTCAAAGTGCAAGTGATGTCAAGCGCTGTTGTGGCATTGGCCGCGCGTCCAAAGTCCGCAAAGCGGTCGCATCACAAGCGTGCGAAGCTTGGAGGGGGGGTGGGCGAAACCGCAATTCTTTCGTAGGGGGGGAGGGGGGGAGCGAAACCACAATTTCTTGGTAGATCCGAAATGTTCCTGTGAGAGCTGGGCATCGGGTCCCCACCCGTCGAGAAGGCCCGCTACACGACCCAGGTCCCCACGAAGCCTGGAACCACCCAGAGACGGCACCTCCGCGAGGAGCCCAGGAAGAGGAAGCCCAGCCCTGTGGCAGGGACGGGACGCAAGGGACGCTGCTGGCTCTAGTCGGGGATCTGCTGACCCGGGTCAATCCAGACCCGGGTCAGTCGGGCGTTGCAGGATCGTGCAGGATCCTGCACCCAAGCCCGGGTCAATGCGACCTTGGCCCTGCAGGATCTTGCCCTGCACCCAATCCTGGGTCAATGCGACCCTGGAGCTGCAGGGTCCTGCAAGACCCGGCCCTCTGGCTGACACCCCCTTGCATTGACCCCCGTCTCTTGAGCCCCGATGCAGAGCGTCCCCCCCCCCGGCCCTGAGTTTCGACTGGGAGGGTTGGAGAGCCCTCCAAGACTAAGCACACATCTGTGCAAAACCAAGACTTCCAACCGCCCACGGCAAACGATTCGAAAGACCACGACCGTGGAAGGTCCCCTGCAGTCGCCATACGGCCGAACCACGGCGACCCAGACGCATCACAGCCAGAGGGCAGCAACCCCCGAGCCCCCAAGGCTAAGGACGAGGCGACCTGGAAAACGGGAGCAGATCCACAAAACCAGTCAATACCCTCTACAATTTCGACGAAGAGGTTTCCGCTGGATCCGCGTGTACCCCCGCTCCGCTGGGCCTCCCAGGAGCCGACACAAGTGGCGACACTTGCGCAGGTCGCAGTCTCCCAGGGAGCCGCGAGGTCTCAGGCCCCTGCCCAGCCACCCTAGACCCCGACGCCTCGCTCCCGTGCGGAGGCAGGGGAGGGGCAGGCGAAAGCAGGGAGGGACGAGGGGGCATGAGCGGCACGTCAACGACGCCTCACCCGTAGAGCTATGGGCATCCCCTCTGCACGGGGTGCCCGTTCCGATGTCTGAGAGGGTAGCCAGCAAACACCCAAAGTGCATATAGCATACGGCTCAGCCGTGCCACTCACCGTGCCACAAAGTGGCAGCGCGCTCCTGACTTTTAGGAACTCCACAAGGCACGTCCGATCTAGCAATCGGCGCTGCCACGTGCCGCTGGTCAACCCGACAGGGCAAGTCCTGGCGCGACTCCAATTGTGTATAATCAGAGCTGCTTGCCCAGTAGTCCTTCGGACGAGACGCACAGGAACCTCTGGAGGTAGCAAACCTGATAAGTGCAGAGGCGCAGGTTACGCTCCACCGTCAGGAGTGTCCTAGTCGGATCTGCTGCCTGACGCTGCTCTTCTACTGCACCTCGACAAACTGATGCGATTCTGTCTGGAGCATGCGTCCTGATTGCACCGCACCCCCTGCCTGAAGCGCAGTCGGAATAAGCGCAAACGCTCCACGGCTCCGGATGCCAACATGCGCGCGATGTCAGCAAAGATGTTGCACTGGGTATGCACCAAAGGCTTTTCGTCACTCTGGGACTGGGCCCTCGCCAAGCCGGGTGCGAGATGCTGCGCTACCGTCCAGAAGGACCCGAAATCTCTCGGCCCTCGGCGGTGTGCACGTCAGACGCGCACGCCGCAATGGCTCCGCGTGGGCTCTGCTTTCGCGCCTCGGCGAGCTGCAAGAGGCTCCCTGGCCTGCGCGGTGACAAAAGAGCTCCTGTCAACGCCTGGTACGGCAAGTACACAACAACGCCTCAAGAGCCTTGGCGACCGCAGCCTATGGGTTCAAAGGCCCATAGCCGCCTCGTGCGCTTATGGATCCCTGGATCGCCGAGCCGCGAAGGGATAAGCATCTCCCGTGGGTCCCGTGACTGTCCATTCGCTCGGACCTTCTTTAGACCGAGTGGGACTCTGCGTGGACCGTCGCCTGCTGAAAGTGTGGGCAACAACAGGCGCTTCAGAATTGCAGCCGAGCCCCCGTTCCTCGGAGTAAAGCGCGCGCCAGCACTCCCGCCATTGGAGATGCCAAACGGGCGGCGGCTGGCTTGGGCGAGGCACCGCCCTTGCTGGAGGTGGCCGGATAGGGTCTCTGTGACAGACGAATCCGAGGGGGGCCGACGGGGAGAATCAGAAATGGAAGCATCTGAGGCGGGAACGAAACGGGATTGGAGAGGAGGTGGAGGAGGACGAGACGGAGTGGGGGGAGGAGAGGGGGCGAGATGAGGGAGGAAACAAATGGGAACGCTTTTTGCGCGCTGCTCTGCCTTTCCGATCCCCAGTCCCTGGGCAATGCCTGGGGCCAGACGCAAACTACAAGCGATGGCATTCCTGCACCCTCGACTCGACGAGCGAGAGGCCCATAACCATTGCCGGCGCTGGCGTTCAGTCGGGCACGTCCCTCTACAGGGGGAATACTCAAAACTATTCATAACATTATATGGGGACGACGTTTTGTGTTTTTGCTGACGATGCTTGAAAATCTTTGGGCTATGTTGAATTTTACTTCAAAAAATCCACCTGTATGGGGGACATGCCCGACCTGACCGAAAGGGCCCAAGGACACACAAAAAATACACTTACATCCCAGGATTCCGAATATTGTTCCATATTTTCTGGGCTTTAATCTTCCTCCCCACTTCCCATCTTTTCCCAGATTGTCTGGGGGATCGACGATCAATTGTGTCTGTGTGTTTTTCCCGACTGACGCTGGCGTCGAACCGCATCAGCAGCACGGCCGAGCGGGGTATGCCCTCTGACGCTCTCCAGGCTCTCCCGCCGCCCCCCCTCCCCCCAAACCCTCGAGCCGGCCTCCTGGTGATGCGAGAAGCCGGCCCCCTCCACACGGTGGCTCAAAGTTGGGGTCGGTCCCGAGGGATGGGGGGCCTAAGGATAGGAAGGGATCCAAGGGTGGATCTGCCGCTCCCCCATCCCCCACCCACCCTCGAGCGGGCCTCCTTGTGATGTGAGAAGCCGCCCCCCCACAAAACGGTGGCTCAAAATTGGGGTCCTGAGGGATGGGAACCAAAGGTCCTAAGGTGGTACGTTTCCTAAATGGACGCTGGCGAAAGGGACTTCTGAGACCGCGGCCTTGCATTTGAGACTTCGAAGAGTGCGAGTAAGAGCGCCACGCGGAGACCTCATGGCGAAGCCAAAGGGACTTGAGAAATCCGCCTCGCCCGTCTCAAGAGTCCCTTTCCCTGGGGTCCCTTCTGGAACCATGTGATTTTTTAAGGTTGGGAAAGGATGCAGAGGTGGATCTGCCACGTTTGAGGCACCCCGTCCTCAGGACCCCATCTCTGAACCACCGACCTGCGGCGGGCATGCCGAGCAGCGCAGACGTTCGCTGGCAGGGGCGAAGGCAGGGGCCCCCGCCGCTCCTTGTTCAGGCGCTCGCGCGCCAGGCCCGCGGCGCCCGCCACCAGGGTGTCCGCCGACGCGGTGGCTCCGGAGAGGAGGGCCCCACCTCCGCCCAGCCGCCCTCCTCTCCCTGGCTCGGCCCCGCACCGCAGGCAGGGGGGGGCCCAGGACCGAGGCAGGGAGGAGGATCGACAATCGAGGAAGAGGATCGACGATCGAGGAGGAGGATCGACGATCGAGGGGGAGGAGGAGGAGGAGGAGGAGGAGGAGGAGGAGGAGGAGGAGGAGGAGGAGGAGGACGACGAAGAGGAGGAGAAGGAAGCGGAGGAGGAGGAGGACGAAGAGGAGGAGGAGGAGGAGGAGGAGGAGGAGGAGGAGGAGAAGGAGGAGGAGGAGGAGGAGGAGGGAGGCGACAACGGGGGGGGTCCCAGGATCGAGGCAGGGAAGAGGATCGACGAAGGAGGAGGAGGAGGAGGAGGAGGAGGAGGAGGAGGACACGGCTCGGTGCAGACTGACGACGAGTGGCCACGGTGTGGCGCAGTGGGGGGAGGGGGGAGGAGCGGCGTGGGAGGGCGGGTGGCGGGGGGGCAAAAGGCTCCTCAGCTGCCCCCCAGGGGGGCTCCCCGGGAAGCCTCCGGGATGCCCAGGAGGGCCCCAAGCGGCCATCTCTTCCGCCTCCTGCCGCTCCGTTCCCTCCCTTTTCTCCTCATCTCTCTCTCTCTCTCTCTTGTTCTCTCTCTCTCTCTCTCGCTCTCTCTCTCTCTCTCTCTCTCTTCCTCCATGACGTGCTCCCTCATGGGTGTCCAAAACTGCTAGAGGAACACATCGTCCAATAGTTTGGGCAGACTTTGGCCGAACATTCGGCCACAGATGCGTGTTGAAAAGGCAGGGGGCGGTGGTGCTTCGCCGCAAACGTCTTCGGTAACATACGCACAGAACTGGCAGAAAGGACACACCGAGCACTTCCGTGGTGGGGACGGCTCGGAGAAGACATTTTGTCCAGCTGCGCCATGCCCTGATTGCCTCTCTGCGTCCAGGCTCCTCGAGGTCGCTGGCTTTAGGTCGGGCTTGTCCCCCTACAGGGGGATTCTGGACGAAGAATCAGAAATACCCCAAAAACATCCAAACATGATTTCAGACATAATCAACACATCGTCCCCATAATATTTTAGGACTATTTTTGAATATTCCTCCCCCTGTAGAGGGACAGGCCCGACTTAACGCTGGCTGCATGGAACAGCGCTGAGTGGGCGGCGCCGCGCTGAGCTGCATCGCCTGCTCCATCCAGAGAGGCGCCTGCTCCGCCACCTGGGCCGCGGCCAGGCCCAGCCTGTCCACGGCAGAGGACACGAGCCCCGACACGAGGTAGTCCTCGTCCAGGCTCCCAACACGAGTCACCAGGCCAGACGCGAGCTGCCCCGCCATCTGTGTGACCTGGTACCTCTCGTCGATGTCGGACGCCTCTGCGCACGCCCGCTGGATTGCGCCAGCTACCAGCGCCGTCGCCCTGTCGGCGGCGTCTGCCGCGAGCGCGCCGGTGCCGGAAACGACGTGGTACTCCTCCTCCAGCTTCTCTGCGCCAGCCCAGGCCTCGCTCGCCAGCGCTCCTGCCGTGGCCCTCACCCTGTACTGCTCGTCCAGAGTGCTGGCTTTCGCTAGCGCGCCAGCGGCCAGCTCCCCAGCCGTGGCCGTGACGCGGTAGCGACTGTCCAACTGTCCAGCCCCAGCTATCGCCTCAGTCGTGATCTGGTCCGCCCCGCTAAGCACGGCGTGGACACCGTCGTCCACCGCGGCGCCAGCCGCGGCGAGGCTCAGGACGCGCTGTGGTATCGGGCCAGCCCCCAGGAGCTCTGCCAGACGCGCGCAGAAGTGGCAGCAATTGCGCCGGATGAGGTCGTAGTCCTCGCCACTCCACTCGGCCGAGAGCTCACTGATCAATGCTAAGACGGTGTCTTCGTCTGCGCCGCATGAACCAATATCGATGGACTCCCGGTACGTGTGCACGCTGCATCCGCGAGGCTGGCAGTCGAATACACCAGAGCCGCCTCCCTCACAAAACCCGAAACTCCACTCACGCTGGAAGATCTCCACGCCAGCATGAAACGCGCCGACGCCCATGCCTGCCCTGGTGAACAGCCCGTTCAAATGCCTCACAGCCCCGCTGCCTGTGACGTCGTACAGGTGCAGCGTCACTGGTGCGAGTGCCGCCAGCGGTGCGGCATCGGGCCCATCCACGCCGCTGCCTGCGCTGCGCTGCTGCCCCGGCTTGCCGCCAGGCGGGTGACCGCCGCACATCGCCCTCTGCCCTGTCCGCCGGGGGGCACGTGGCGGCAGTGCCGTCGGCAGCACCATGGAGCGTGAGCCCCCCGAGCTCGAGGCCATAGCGCAAGCCGCAGTAAGACGCCACACCTAGAGGCAGCGTGGCGGCGGGCGTCCGCACGGCCGCGTGGCAAACTTGAGCAAGACCTGAGCGTCATCTTCACAATGCCACACTTACATCTATGTATGTATGTGCATATGTACGTGCATATTAGAACCATCGCGTGCGCTTTGGTTCTAGCGCCACAGGCCACAGAGGGGAAGGTATCACGTTCTCCTTCGGGACCCCTCTCCAAGGCAAACCTTCAGCAACGCCCCTGTGACAGAAAAGCCGGGGGGACATCAATCGTCCTGCCGTCAACATGTCGCGCTTCCGCGCCATGCAGCCGCTGGGACTGCGGCCCTGCGCGGCTGTTGGCCCCCCGGAAGATGCACCGTGAGGCAACCTCGATGGGTGGGCGGGCTGCTCGCTGTTAGCCAGCTCGGCAGAGCGACTGGGTGGTAGGTTTGTGCACCGCGCGCGGGATCCGTGACCATTTTGGCTCCAGATCCCCCCGCTCGGTATCGAAGAACCCCCTTCACGCGCTCTCTCACGTGGCTGAACGTGCACTTCTATTGGAGCCGTCTGGGAGCCCTCCCAAGCCCCGTCGCAGGGCCGCAAGAGGGTCTCAGAAGGGCCCCAGGAGAGCCCCAAGAGGGCGCCGCGGGCTACCAAGGGAGGTGGAAATTAAGTCACGTAAGCGCTCTTTCGCGTGACTGAAGGTTCACTGCTCTGGGATGCCTCTGGTAGCCTTCCGAGGGCGCGCTGGAGCGGCCGAAGAGGGTCTCGACAGGGCGTTAAGGGGGCCGCAGGAGGGCCTTACAGGGCCCCCAAGAGGAAGGAAAAGGTAAGTGACGCGAGCGTTCTCTCGCGTGAATTACCTTGCACTGCTATTGAAGCCCTCTGGGACCCCTCCCGGGCCGCGTGGTGAGGCCCCAAGTGGACCTCGGAGGGACCACAAGAAGACCCGAAGGGGGCTCCGGACGGCCCCCAGCTGCAATGAGAGGTGAGTCACGCGCGCGCTCTCTCGCGTGACTTAACTTGAACTGCTGTGGGAACCTTCTGGGGCCCGTCCTGGGCCGCGTTGTCGGGTAGGTCCGACTCCGAAGGGCCTCAGGAAGGCCCGAAAAGGGGCCCGGAGGGCCCCAAAGAGCCGAGACAGTTCAGTCACACGCGCGCTCTCGCGCGGAACTTCATATGAACTGCGGGTGGAGCCCTCTGGGAGCGTCCCCACGCCGCGTCACAGCGGCCTAAGAGGGTCCAGAGGAGGCGCCAGGAGGGCCCGAAGATGCCCTGGAGGGAGGGCCTAAAGAGCGGTGACAGTGTTCTACTGCTGGAGCCCTGAAGGCTTCCCAGGCCGCGGTGGAGGACCCCCCAGATGGTACCGATGAGGGTTGATATGCGAAATAAGCATAACTCCCCAGACAATGCTTGCACTCAGTGGCTCTCGCTTCTGATCTACGGAACTGGGCCTGCGTGGCGGTCTGGCGGCTGCGTGGTCGCCGTCACCGCCCCGTCGCCGCCTCGTCGCCGCCCGTCGTCTGGGCCTGCATGGCGGTCTGGCGGATACGTGGTCGCCGTCGCCGCCCCGTCGTCTCCCCGTCGCTTTCCTTTGCTTCGCTTTGCCCTGCATCGCGTTTCATTGCTTGCATCGCATTGCGCTGCAATCGTTGCAATCGCATTTCTTCGCAATTCTTTTTCGCCACATGGTTTGCACCGCATAGATCGCACTCCATACATTACGCCGCCATCGTTGTTCCAAACAGGATTTCTGTCGTAAGATGAATTAGCTTACGCCCCCACCCGCCTCTGGGATTATCCACTCGCCGCTTTGCAAGTCAATGTACGTATGAATCTGCCCTCTCTCTCATTTTCCATGTGGATACCTACCACTCCAGCCAAGCTTTCCATGTAGGCCCCGTCGTCCCTTTCCAAAAAAATGCACGCATATTCGTTTACCACAAATCAGCTATTGGCAAATCTCCCTGGCAACAGAAAAAAACGAAGTGCGCACGCGCGCGTCGTCGCGCTGGCATGCCAAAAATCCTTCAGAAACCTTGGGTGTCGTAGGGAATTCAATATCGAGTCTCCCGACCACATGTTTCCCAAATGAGGTTCTGTCACGTGGCTTGTTAAAAAAGGTCTGCACGCGCGCTCTTGCAATCTTGTCAAAACATAAACTGTTATACCTGTTCGCCAAATACTACCAAGCGGGCCCCTCGCGCGCGCATGTCGAAGTCATTGGAAAGCCTGCGCGCCCACTGCGCATCTCAGGGGGCAACGAGCATCACGGCGCAACTCAGGGGCAACGAGCATCACCGCGCAACTCAGGGGGGGGCACGAGCATCACCGCGCAACTCAGGGGCAACGACAACTCAACGATCTTGTTTCCTTGGGCTCTCGTGGGAGTGCTCTTGGATGCCGGGTCGTCTTGGGGGCCTCATGGGCCGTGGAGGGGCCTTCCGGGCGTGTTGAGCACATCTGTTAGCGGTTCGGAGCTTCTTGGATCGCATGGGGGCCTCCTCTGTGGGCTCTCTTGGGCCACCTTGGGGGCATCTGGGGCGCCTCGTGTGCCATCTTGACTTATTGGGGGCGCCTCGAGTGGTATTGGGGCGATCTGGGGGCCTCGTGGACTGTCGTAGAGCGTGGAGAAGCCGGAAACATAGATTACGATGTTGCATGTAAAGAACGTAGCAAACAAATCCCGGACAACTCCCTGGACAACCCCTCCGAGATGGAGACCACAAGTGCCCTAGCATGTAAGTGTGGCCAACGCTTGAGCGAGAGCACCGTTCCTTACCAGGGATGTGGCCTGCGCACTGGAGGGAGAGGGAGAGAGAGAGAGAGAGAGAGCGCACCTTTTTCAATCAGGGATGTGACTGGCGCTCATGCGAGCGCAACATCCAGTCCTCGTGCGACAGCTCACTTCCCAATCGAGAGCGTAGTCACTGCTCAGGCGACAGCACCACTCCCGTTCAGGGATATGGCCGGCGCTCCAACGACAGCACCATTCGCCACCATCCCCCCGATTCCGTGAGAGTCCTGTGTCTGCTCATCCTTGGTTCAGGGCTTCTTTGTGCACAGAGTTGCGAGGCGGTCTCAGGCAAAACTGGCTGGACAACCTCGCGCGCAGCATCTCAGAAGCCATAGTTTCGAGGATGTCTCAGGTGAAACTGGCTGGACAACCTCAGGTCAGGACATGCCATCCCCAAGCTCAGAGTTGTGACCCTGTCGCAGGGGAAAGTGGCCGGACGCTGAGGAATGAGGAGAAGGCTGAAGGCTGAAGAATGAGGAGGCCCACGAGAGGGCTTGGGTAGGATTGCGCCTGGACAACCCCCGGACAACCCGGTTGACAGCCCCCTGGACAATCCCCTCGAGAATCCGACGTGCGGGGGACAGGTCTTGTCCTTGTTGTGGGGGTCACCAGTGGCTCCCCTCTTTCAGACCACCTGACATTAAGGAATCTCTGAGACCAAGGCTTTGAGCAGGGACCGACCGTCCCGCCAGTTTTACAACGACATTTTCTGAGAACCCAGGAATGTTTTAAGAACCGAAGTAATGTTCTTAGAATATTAATTTGATGTGCTAAAATATGACATTCCCAGTCAGAAATGTTCTAAGAACATTTCGTGCAGACCACAAAATGCTATGTGAACATTGTTTGGTAGGCCTATAGGCAAGCTGGGACGCTTCGCCACTGCTTCAAGGTTGCGAGAACGGACCACCTCGTGGGCGGCATCTCCGAGCCCGGCGAAAGCGGCCGAAGCGCCTCAGATCTGGGCATGCGTGAGCCCAGCCTTAATAGGATGTCTGTAGCGAACAAGGAAAGACGACCTCCTCGTTTTGAGCATGTCTCTGTGCGCCGGTCCCGAAGCTGAAACTGGCTTCTACAACGACAAGACTGAAGCCAGCCACGCTTCGTGGGGAACAACGATCAATGAGGATGTGCGAACGGGAGCGGGAGGACGCGAGAGAGGAACGAACAAGAGGGGGAAAGAGAGAGGCGCCCTTTTCAGGTGGGTTTGACTGGCTGTGCCATGCTTCTGATGATATGAATAATTAAGATATTTGCGTGCGCTGGCAAACCGTCACGGGCCGGACAACCCCTTGGACAACCCCGCGAGGAAACCGGACACCCCCCCCTATACAACCATCCCCAGAGTTTTTCCATACAACATGTGAACATGATGATAAAACAAATCAACTCGGTTTGTTTCTGTGGGGGCATCTTGGGTAGTCTTGGAGGCATATTGTGCCGTGGGGGGGCGATCTGGGGCGTTTTGAGCGGCTCTTTTAACGATTGAGGGCGCTCTTGGAGCGTGTCGGGGGCCACTGGAGACTCTCTTGGCTGGTCTTGGGGTCGTCTGGGATGCTTCTGGGGCAGTGTGGGGCCGTCTTGGGACCCCCAGGGGGTTGCATCGACACCTTCTGAAGGGCGTCTGAAGCTGTGCTGGGGCGACATCGCGGCCTCGTGCCTCTGGGGCCCATGGAGCTGTTGGGGAGAGGTCCTGGAGGCCCAGAGACCCCATGGAGTCGAAGCAGCTAGCTGGGAGCCGCCGACCCCGTGTCCCGGTAGATGTGCGTGTATATAAATAAATATGGATAATACACATGCACACCATGCCGCGATGTACTAAGTGCAGCGTCATCAGGGTCCTTCGAGTTCTCAGTGTGCTGGGCCTTGTCAAAAACCTTTCATGGTCCCAGACCCCCACCGGGGGCGCGCACCCATGGATTAGCGATCCATGGATTTGGCGCGCGGTCGCCTAATCCATGGATCGGGGGAGGTGCCCTCTCCCAAATGCGCCCGGTGCCGCCTCGTTCGGCGGCGGAAGTCCGCGATTTCCCATGGAAACGGGACCCGTCGCTAATCCACGCCCCCTTGATCCATGTTTGCGATCGCCTGGGGTATGCCCCTGACGCTCTCCAGGCTCCCGGCGCTCCCCCCCTCCCTCCCACCCTCGAGCGGGCCTCCTGGCGATGCGAGAAGCCGCCCCTCTCCACACGGTGGCTCAAAGTTGGG